TGGAGCCATATGCCCTGAAAGTGCTATGGTCACAGTAGCTTGCCTATTTCTAGTATCTTTGATACACAATGCACACATTATTCATGAAGCTAAAGAGTTTATTGTCAGACTTTGGGGGATGGTATTGGACTTTATATCTCCTACTCCCTTACAGTCCTACAATTTGGGAACAAAAATGTTATTGGCATAAGAGAAGTCTTCATTATATTACAAACCATTTCAAATACATGTATTTTATTGGGGAAGGATGCAGTTACTTTGATTTTATTTTAAAGTGAATTTTATTTTTAAAAGAGAAACAATTTAGAAGTGTCTGAATTACAAATCATTTAAATATGAAATCAAATAATTCATCTGGTTGCTTTCTCACTATAATACCGTACTTGAAATAATTTAGATATCTGTGGGATAGGAGCATCTGTACCTTATCATGTATAACTTTTCCTGATTATTTCTTGAAATGCAGACTAAACATGCAATTCTGACATAATGCAGCATCACATTTGTATTCCTGGTTTGCTCAAATGCCTCTGCCAGCTGAATTAATGTCTCATAAAGAACAACTATGACCTCAAGGGAATTTTGTAAAAGGGATTAAACTGTTGAAGCCCAAAAAGAAGTTACAACTATTTATACCAAAATTCTTGATCCTAAGTTGTACCATATACATATATCATCCACATCATATATTGCATCCAAGTCATATACATGTGGAGATTGTTTAAGCAGCAAATCCCACTATCATATTTTAGAATTTTTCAAGTAATTCCATCATGATTTAGCATATGCTCCAAGAGTATTGCCCATATGAGTACTGTACTATTATTCCTCATAGAGACAACAGCCTGATTACTAGTTCATACTTTATAAATGGATGTCTACATGTGCAAGGACAGTCTTATTGCAGGGACATTGTGTTAAAGGTTAGGGTGATGGGAAATGCATACCTACTAATGGGCATTTTGGAGATGACTGCACACAAAACTGGGAAATCTGGTTTCTAAACTCCACTTGAACCTGAAAGTTACTAGCTGACTTTGATCCCATCATACACACCCTCTCACCCTGATCTCCCTTGTATTGTTACTGTGATAATAGCATGTAATTAATACTCAGAATTGCAAACTACAATAAACAATCATTTAGAAACCATAGATTCTACTTCCTGTGCTTGTGGGACTGTTCTAATGAAAACCCTCCCACAAGGGTAACACTTCTTGAAAGCAGTCTGACATTTGCTCTTCCGTAGAAGCACCAAGTCTCCGTACACATAAACTACAAGAAGATAGACCTATTTGTTGGCAAATGGAATTAAAATCTCTTTTGAACTGAACAGGTGCCTTGTGATGGAGGGAGCGGAGTCTTTAAAATTCTGTTTTGGCCAGCATCTGTCAAGTTCAGCCTCAGTATATTTGAAAGTTGACCTTTCTCCAAAAAAGTGGTCATGCTTCTTGGAAGTGAGAAAGGTGCTAGGAATATACGTAATACTGCATTAATGGACAATAGGTGACTTGAAGTGACCTAGGAGTAATCAATAATTATATCAGTACTTTTGAGAGAAGCTGGTTCTTCCAGTGTATTTTCTCCTTCTTGAATTGCTACCTTTTTTCTTCCTTCTTTGTGCTACAATGCAGGGATCAATAGGATGGACAACATAAGTCCTACCAGGCTTACTGTATGCAGCTTAACTAAGCTGTTTCACACCGACCTGAACTGCTACCATGTCCTGACTAAATTGCAAACCAGTCTTTTCAGGATAAAGAGAGAGAAAGCCTAGCAGCAGCAAAAAATCAGAGAGCTTCAAATAACATATTATCACTTGCTGTGCCTCTTAATCCTGTGATTAAAAAGTCAGTAAATACAGTCTGACAAGTAAGATTAGCTTATCTTTAAACATAATGCTTTCCCTTAGACACATTAGTTTCTTAAGAACAGCTAAGGAACTGTTATAAAAAAATCCTCTATTTGTGAAGGCCCCTAACAGTATTGAATCACGTTCAGTGCATAATTCTGTCTATCTTCTCATCCTTGTATCCAAGAGTCACAAAATATGATGGCACTGCACCTGCTTATTCTCATTCACTCTTCTTTCTATAGCATAACCTATAAGACAACATTAGAGTGTGTAACTGTCTTATATCTTTCCTTTTATGATTGTTTGATATGATAAATCAGATGGATTCAGAGAGTACAAACACTGTAAAAACAAAACTGAACATAGAATCCATACACTCAGAATAGACTATGCTGCAGAACAATGGCATTTACATTGTTCATTAAAAAGAATACATCTTTATTTGAAAGGATTTCAGAAGACAGACTTAAAAAGCACAAGGGTGCCTCTTAGTGGATTCTTATGGTAGCTCACATAAATAAGTGCAATATATTACAAAGTTGTTCAGAATTAGAGCAATTGTTCGTTTTATACGCTTCATCTCTTGAAGGATCTACACTATCACATTTTCTCCAGCTGCATTAATTATATGCATTGTAAATAATTCTTCTAACTTTTAAGTCAGTTTCATTTATTCATTCTTCCTTGCCCACAGCCTATTGGAATAGACAACTGAAAAGAAAATATATTAAACTTTAGTATCGGATTGTTATTATGTTAGCCGTGTTTATCATTTTTATTAAGAGCCTTATAGAGTAATAGTTAAAGTCCTGGCCTTGGATTTGTCAAGTCTTGCAAAATTAACCTTATTTCATTTATTTTAATTAGATAATTTCCTTAATAGGTTGTGGGAATCCTACGGAGGCAATATAACTTGGTCGAAGCAAAGCATTTGTAAAGGAAGGTAGAGATGTCCCTGGAACGGAGGCTTTCAAGATTCTGTTACTATACCCTATAACAACAAAGTAGCATTCCAGGAATCCTTATGGCATGTTTCCTGACCTGACCTACCTTGAAGGGCTGACATCAACTTTGAAAGCCATCATTCTAAGTTGATTTCTTACATTCCTTTCCAGCATTTGACAGTGTTCCATGACATTCTGATTAGGAGGCAAGTTTAACATAAGCTGGATGACATTAACAATTATGTGGACATACGTGGTCCAAAAATTGTACTGAAAGATATCATCAACGGTTCCTAATCAAACTGGAACCATTGTGGTAGAGTTCCAACAAGCTTCAGTCGTAGATTGTCTGTTTTTCAATATTTTCTTAATGACTTGGATAAAGAAGTGGAAGGAATGTTTATTTGCAGATGACACAAAATTAGATGGGATTTTGAGAAAGAGAATTCAGAGATACTTGATGGGTTAGATAGGCTGAAAATAATAGAATGAAATTAACAGACAACACAAAGTTATGCACTTGGAAGGCAAAAATCAAATGCATCTATGTTATAGATGGAGATACCTGGCTTGGTAATATACTTTTTAAGATCTTAGAATAGTTGAATGCAAATTGAATATGATTCAGCAGTGTGATATTGTGATGGAATGTATCTACGAGGAGGAGAGCGATGTGGAAGATCAAGGCTATCAGGAAAGAGGGGGTGCATTCCAGGAGGGGAGAGGAGGCAAGAGGCAAGACAGTCCACAGGGGGAGCATGAGAAGAGTAAGGGATTCGGGATAGCCATTCCCTAGAATCTCCCAGGGTATATCCACTAGTTGTAGTAGTATAGATTTAGTTTGGCAAGATTCTGTCTATAAGGTGTAAGCAAATAAAGGAACTGTACTCGACTGGACTGTTTCATCGTTGTTCCTGGGCAGATATGGCAGCAAAAAAAGGCAAATGTAATCTTAGGCTGCATAAAAGTATGGTTTCCAAATTATGGCAAGTAATAATTTTAGTATTCTGCATTGGTCAGACTCCATTTTGAATGCTGTATCCATTTCTAGCCACACGTTTTAATAAGTTTCAGCTACACAGTTTTTCTGAAATGCAGATGAGGACGATTGAGAGCTAGTAACTAACACTGTGAAGAGGACTGAAGGAACTGGACATGTTTAACCTTGAGAAGACTGATGGGAACAGTACTCTTCATGTATCTGAAATGATCTTGACATAGAAGATTGTTAAGATTTGCTCATCCCAAATAGCATTTGAAACTTTCTTGACATAGACAACCATCAAGATTTGTTCTGATGTATTCCAGATAGGACATGGAATAGTAATTTAATATTATAGGGTAGATTCTGGCTGAATGATAGCAAAAACTTTCATTGTAAGAACAGTTTGACAGTGGAATCCATTATCCAGAGTGATAATGGGCTCCTTCTCTCTGGATGTCTTCAAGTGTAGGTTCTAGAGACATCTGGATTCCTAAACTGAGCAAGGAGGTAGATATGATGGCCTAAATGGCCCTTCCAACTCTATGATCATACAACTAACTGGCAAGATCTAAGTTCAAGTCCCCACTCAGTCATGGAGCTCTCTATGTCTTTGGCCCAGTTATTCTTTCTTGGGGTTGTGGAGACAAAATCAGGGAAGATTCCTTGCCATTTATGTAGATCAATATTCCACAGAAACAAGTTGTGACATAAATGCAATAAATAAAAATGTTTTATTATGTGTGATTTTACATTCTGGCTTGCTCCCCATCGGGAAGACTCTTACAGATCTTAGCATAATTGTAGGGTATTGCTAATTATTAAAATATATGCAACAAAACTAATGCTATGATATTGCAGTTTTATTCATCTGATTATAATATATGCTATAATGAACAATCCTGACATGCAACTATAACAATCTAAAGGGTTTTTATGTAAGTTACAACAAATGGTGGCATTGTGCATAATACCTTTTTAAACAGTTTAAAATGAAAAGACAAAGGCTATAATTTGTATTTTGAATTAGTTTGTCAAAATGGTGGTCTGAGTTCTCTATGTCTTCAATTGTTCTCAACCTTGTTCTTTGAAAGAGGCCAATGTCAGAAGTTTTCTTTATTTAAGAGTTCAGAGTTTGAGAATTCCAGGCTAACCGAGAGAAACTGATCATCCTGAATAAATAATATACCTTGTAATGTACTGTAGTTTTTTATTGCAGGGAGAAGAAAGGAAAGAAGAAAAAAGCCAAAGAGAGAAGAAAGCAAAGAAACCAGTCAGGAAAACAGAGATCAAGAATCCAGAAGGCAGAACAGAGATCGGGACAACAAAAACAAAACGCAACTGAAGAAAAGAGGGCAGGATAAACAGCAGAAACTAGTCACCATCAGCACTGCACACTAACCGCCTTACACCACTGTTTAAAACTATTGCTGCTGCTACCATCACCAGACCCCCAGAGTCAGTGTTCCTCAGTTATCACCAATAGACAATATTACAAGTTATACTTAAACAACATTCCAATACTTACTACTATATTCTTCATGCAATCACAGTTTATTCAAGAGACTGACATGAAGCAAGATTTTTTTTTTCTTTAAATGGGATACTTTCAACCTTATATTACATGCTTCCATGCATCTCTAGGAGTGTCTCAGCAGCTGGACTGCCTGGTTGATCTTGTCAGGCTCAGAAGCTCAGCAGGATTGGGCCTGGCTAGTTCTAGAATACTGGCAAGGCAGTAGGTGAAACTGGGAAGTAGAAAAGAAAAGAAAAGAAAAGAAAAGAAAAGAAAAGAAAAGAAAAGAAAAGAAAAGAAAAGAAAAGAAAAGAAAAGAAAAGAAAAGAAAAGAAAAGAAAAGAAAAGAAAAGAAAATCCCAGAAGACGGCAGTGTAAACCACTTCCCTGCTCTTGCTGAGAAAGCAACGTGGATGTGTCCCTGATGTCACCAGGAATCAAGTGGGATTCAAAGGAGACTTTAGCTTTTATCTCTAAGGGTCAATTTAGAAGCTTGTATATAATTATCAATATGGTATAAAGTATAACAATGTATTGGACAACCACTAGGAAAAAGTCTTTTTCCTCTGTAAAATATTTTTTTCAACCAATTCTTTATGAAGCAAAAATTACCTAAGGTAAAGATACAGCATCCCTAGGTGCATCATTACAGTATATATGTTACATATGAATTAAGAGGAGGAGGAAGAAAGTGTCTTACGAGCACTGAATGTTCAGTACCACACAGTCTATCAGAACTAAGTTCACTGGATTTTGCCACAGATTCGTATTAGAAGTTCCAGACTGAAGAGCTGCACGGCTCTGAAGCAAAGGCACAAAAGAAATGGAAGCATCAGTAAACACATTGGAAAGAGAGGCAATGGCGTTAAGTAGCACTCTTATTTGCAAGATAGCAGAATATTTTCTGTCAAAACCTTGATAATACAGCTGTTCTATGCTTTATATCATTCTCTATATCATTTATATAGAGCTGTTCTCTATATCACTGAAATCTTCCAAAGACTGACAAATCATATTTGCCGGAAAAAAAAAAAAAGCAAAACACTGAGAGAATAAAGAACAGAGATGGGAGATCACACAAATAGGACATTTGCACTGATGACTTTTTCATCCCTCTTGTAATTGAACATTGTCACACAGTCTGCTTTGTAAATGGAGAAAAGTATGCTGTTCTTTAGAAATGTTTTATCTAATAAACTAAGGCCACTTTACCAAATATACAGGGGAATATCCAATTAACTCCTCCAGCTGATGGAATGACATCACTATGCACAATGGTGGGCAACATGCTATCAACAAAGTAAGCAAGAATTCTTTAGGGTTGGACAAAGAATAAATATTTGTACAGTATAGCTGAATTTACATTGTTCCCACAAGAACAGTAGCACTCATTGCTTCTCTCACATTCAAGAAGTGCCAAGGTTGGGTTTCCTCACTTGCTATGGACACAGACGTGCCCTAACATCATTTTTCTGGTCTGTCTGCATAATGTGGCCTTCCTCAGATCCCCAGCTGATTCCTGAGGCAGCCTTAAATCATTCTTAACTGTACCCTTATTAGAGTTTTCCCTCTTATCTTGACACTGCTATGCAGGGGACACAATCTGGAATGCTTCACTGACCATTTTGGCAGTAATGTAGTAAGGTGACCCATGTCTACTGGTTGACCTTAGGCTGATGCTGGCATGCCTCCTCCCCACTGGCCTCCAGGCACTGTCTTCCAGGGCTAATCTGCTCTGGACAGGAGAGTCTGGTTCTTTCAAGTTGGGCTTTCCCCATTTCTGCCAGGTCTCCGAGCCAACCCCATTCTGCTTCTTGGAGCAGCCTAAATGGCAGCTAGCCTGTGGTAGTGACAGGAGGGAGAGGCACTGTGTGAAGCAGGATAACTAGCTCTATCTGTCTGCTTCAGGGTGCAATCCCCCTCATGCCTGTTGATTGTCATTCAGGTAGGCTGCTTTTGAACACAGGCTTAGTGTTTTTCTGGAATAACTGAATCAGCTGGTAATCACTCACCTACTGAACATGAGTTTAGCACTGTTCTGGAATAGCACTAAGCCCGTGTCCAGCTTCATTTGGATATGGGTTTAATAGACAAGAGCACTAAACTCATGTCTAAAAGGAGCTATCGCCTGACAGTCACTCTCATTTCAAATGCACAGAGACAAAATACTTGCTAGTCTGGCCACCTGTCAAATGTGCCTCCTTCCCAGTCCCAGCCCACACTGGCTTTGCTGGTGACTTTGATGAGAAGAGGTGGAAATAAAGCTAGGGGACTCCAACAATGCCTGCTTTAATGTGCCATGTACACTGTGAATAAGTGTCAGCCCTTCAAGGTAGACTAGGTCAGGAAACAGACACCACAAGAAACACTAGAACTCAACTCTATTTAGACTATAATAGAATCTTGAAAGCCTGACAGTTTCTCTTTCCTTTCCTCTTATACCCAAGAGAATCAAGATGGGCTAATCTTGAGTTTCTCCCTCAGCCCCTTCTGTCTTTCTGGGTTAAGTTGATATTGTTGTAATGGCTGCCCCATACTTTCTTCAAGACTAACTCTTTATTCCTCTACAATAACAACAGCACCATTTGTTGGCATCATGCCTGTGTTAAAATAGGAATTGCTACTAAGGACAGCAGATTTTATGCCAGTACAAAGACAGGTGGGTAGCACTTCAATTCAATTATGAGAAAGAACCCTAAATGAGCTTTGGGCAGAACAATTCTCAAAATAGGATCATCACAAACTAGGAAAATTAATTTCAATTTTAGTTTTTCATGAACAACTAATATACATTAATATTAATTTATATTGTGAAAAGCAACCATTTATTTATTTTTCATCACAAGCTAACTTAGGGCAGCAGATAGGAAATTGTTTTTGAATATAGCAAATTGATAGTGTTCCGACAATTAAAAGCTGATCAGGATTTCTCTTAATCTGGTCAAACAGATTTTGCAGTGTTGTTTAATTAAATGTCAACAGTTCCTTTTCATCTAACCACATTTTCAACTGTATAACAAAGCTAGCATCTACTTTCACTTCAGAGCTTCATTTTCATTCATTTCAAGGTACAGTACCTTGCTTCAAACACTATATTACTGGCAATAATGGCTCAATTGATTTGGAATCCACATTCCTTTTTCTTTCCAATTCAGTTTTAGTACGAAGGTCAAGTGGCTTTGGGAATTACCTGATATTTGGCTTCCACACTATTAAATACAATGCACGTTATCTTCTAACTTACTCTTGAAATTTAATGAGTTCACTGCGATGACCAGGACTTGGCTTTTCCTTATCTTGTTCCTCTAAAATAGCAAGTGTGGATGAGTTTTTATAGCTTGCTGGGCCCCAACAACTACCCACCACAGCAGTGAGTCAAAAAACCATGTCTACCCTTCACTTTCAGTATGTGATTAATGCTTCTCACATGTGTAATGCAGCTAGGAGGAGAAGTGGTTGCCTTGGCGTCAAACTAAAGATGATTACGATTAACAATTTTCTAAAAAGGAGGGCAAAAAGACTTCTTGCAACTATCATACTGTCATTGCCCATGGCTGCATTTGTTAATTAATAGTAAGCTATCACAGGAGACAGAACACTGCTGATTAATGTATGCCTTGTGTGCAGAGAAAAAAAACATGTTATCATGAAGTTAGCATTACCAAAGAGTCTGCATCTCAGAGCAACCCCAGCTGCAATGTCTGTGATTGGAAAATGGGCATAAAAATAGTATTATTAATATTATTATTATTAACATGTATTAAAATCTTAATTTTAATAATCTGAATGTTGCTTTTTCATAGGATTTGGCATTTGCTAGTAACTGACAATTGTTTCTTCCATCTCACTTATGGCAACTGTGCTAATTCACTAGAGTGGAGGTGTGCAATGTACAGGCTTGGAAGTTACTGATTTAAATGGGGAATAGTTTTATGCTACAGTCCCTTTGTAATTATTTTCCCTACGCAAGGCCACACAGGTAAAACAGTGGTGCTATTACTGGGAAGAGGGTGAATACCAGGATTTCTAGTCAATTCCCTCCATTTTTAATGGGATTTTTAAAAACCTGTACAGGTGTGCTAAAGCTGTCAAAGCAATTTTATTTCACTGTATCACCCTTCAGCTACCCATTTGTTGTGGCACAATCTTGGTGTGTTGCAGAGAGGAGGGGGTGTTAGAAGATACATGAAGCCTACAACTTCCCCAACCCAAAGTAAAACTGTGGAAGGATAAAAAAAAGAGCATTAATATCTATTCCTATATATTTAAAATGCCAGCTCCAATTCCACAGCATTGTATGGATGATTAGAAATGGAAATAATTATCTGTATCAACATATGTGTTATCCATTATGTCTACAAATGTCACATACAGTGCAAGAATTCACACATTAATACGGAGACATGTAAACTTCATCTATTGATCATAATTCTCAAAATTCTAAGATAATTAATCCTGAAAAACAAAATACCACAACAAATTTAATTTTCCAAGGAATATTTTATAATTGCTGTCATTTGCCACACTTCCTAGGGAAGCTGGAAGTTGCAGTTTAACAACATGTTGAGGGCCACAATTTGCATATTCTAATCTAATGATTAAAAGTTAGCCATTATTTAATGGTGGTTTATGCAGCAGAATCAAAGCATAAGGTCCTTTGCAGAATATCACAAGCAAAAAACATTATTCTGATACCGTAACGTTTATAATTCCAACAACAGTGGAAAGGAAGAAATAAGGGAGAAATGAAAGATACTAAAGGAAGACATCCTGTAGTCAATGACAACCAAAATGATGTGATAAAAAAGCTGATTCAAATGTTAATGTTTATCTGCTAATTTTGCTATATTGTTTATATGAACCAACTGCCATAAAAAAAGGCTTCACGGAAGAAATGTTCAGTTTTCTACATATTTTTATCTAATGGCTCCATGTGCATGAGACATGATCTTATGTCATCAGAGCCCTTCTCCCTCAAACATCAGCAGATCAACTGGCTGTCTTCATCATCAGTTTCCAATGAAACTAACCATGACAATAATGACTTGCTATTATAGGCTCTGCAATTTAAGGCTGTATATGACACCTTAAAAGGTTACATGTTATTTATTTTGCTAACTTAGGTCAGCTGCAAAGCCAGAGGAATACAAAGCCACTGGAAATCAAAACCTTAAACATGACTGGCTTCCAAAGACAGCATTCTGTGTCCCACGCCTTATGGCAAACAACATGCTAAATACAAGACAGGATTCTACTATGTCTTGTAGAAACAGTACTTTAGTGCCAAAATCACCTTATTTCATCACTATCATTGAATATGAATCGGTTAGGGATATAAGGACAAAACAACTATTAAAGAACAGGCTAATTGACAGCAGTCCATTTCTATCAATGCCAAAGATGAATTCTTCATGATATATTAATTTACTAGAGTAAGTGCAGAGAGGGAAAAACTAATTAAGGTTTCATGTCCTATTGTGCAACATACTGCATATGCATGGATGCACCCTAATTAGTCCCACTGAATCAATGTTACAAAGAGACAGAGGGCTTGAAAACAACCTCAGAAACAGTCACAGATGTTTTTGATTTTTAATTATAACCCATATAACTGGCAAAACATCATTGTCATGGTTACATGCCACGCTCTTACTTTTAAAAACAAGAGCCACTGGAATGTCAAGGAAGCGAGTGGCCTAAGTAGCCTTGGATGTTTTTTAATAATAGTCATTATTGGTGATTGGTGAAGAAAGTCTTGGATGCTTCACTCCTTGATGACTTTGGTAACCTACCTTTGACTTCCTTTGCACAAAACTCTCAGGCTTTTATGTCACCAGAGATCTGAAGTGTTATTTAGGACTCCAGAGACTGAAACTGCCATTTCTAATTAGGATTTCAAGATTTATTTTTGTAACCAAAAGATTTCATCCAACTCTTTTTTTTTAAAGAAACGCCATAGTTTATTATTTTTTCTAAAGAGTGCAAATATGTTTTTAACAACTTAAAAAGGAGGCTTGTTTTATTTTTAAAACACACTTTGCTTTTTATATCTGCATGTGTTTTTTAAAACACAACTAGATAAACTTATGGAAGTTAGCCTATTAGTGACTTAGTAACAAAACTTGAAGATAACTTTATCAAATGATTTTGAGATTTTGTGCAGCAGCCAGTAATAATTTCAGATTTCCATGGGCACTGAACTCATAAGCTAACCCACTGATCTGCAGCGATATATGAAGTAGAGATATAGACACAGATGGAGGGTGGCACCACAAGAAAGCACACAAAGTAAAAAGCCAGAGGCCAGGGACAAAGGGAGGTGCTACAGAAAAAAGGGGCCCAGAACAGGAGCATGAAGCTTGTAATTCTGCAGAGGAACAGCAATCCAGAGAACAGAGTGGAGAGGTAAATTAGAAAGAATCAAATCCAGTCAGACAGTTCAGCACAAGACGGGAGACAGCAACATAACAGATGGAAAGAGAACTACAGGGAAGATTGCAAAGCCAACTGAAGTTTTTGGGCATAAGTATTTATCAACAACAACAATTTTGAGATTAGAAACTTTAAATGTGTGTTTAGCAAATGGCAAAGCAGCACTAGTGCTGGACAAAGAGCTTGGAAGGCAAGTCTTTTCAGCTAGGTTAGACCCAGTAGTTAAAATCGGAGATCGTGTCCAAGCAGAGATGCACTCCAAAGAAATATTCAAAAACCAGGCAGATTTAGATTGAATCTGTGATCATACAAACTGAAAAAAAATCCCTACAAAGCCACTGATTTACATTTATTTATTTACAGAACCTATATGGGCATCTATCTCACAGAATGATTCTAGGTGGCTCACAACAATCAATAAAAATAAAGATTAAAAAAAAATACCCTCCCCTTCCCCCACCAGGTGACAGACCAAACAGCCTCCCAGCTCAAGCCCCATCCAAGCCCAATGTTTGGGGGGAGAGCCAGGTCTTCACAACCTTCCAGAAAGCTAAAAGGGTAGGGATCTGAGGTCCCATCAGGTGACAACATTTAAGGGAGGAAAATCTGGAGTGTGCCCACCCTATCTAATCTAGTAGGATGGATAGATACCCTCAGGGAGAGATGGTCCAGCAAATAACCTGGCCTTGTGCCACGTAGGGCTTTAAAGGTGATAACTAGCACCTTGAATTGCACCTGGAAAGCAACTGGCTGCCAGTGCAATTCATGCAGTAGTGGCATAACTCAGGTGAACCATGCAGCACCCAAAACTATGCGTACCACTGCATTCTGGACTGGATGGTCTTCAAGAGCAGCCCCATTAGAGCACATTGCAGTAATCCAAACAGGAGGTGACTAAGGCATGAATGACTGTGAGCAAGGAACCTTTATGGGTGCTTTAGCGCTTTTTAGCACTATAGTAAAACAGGCACGTTTGTAAAAATGGCTGCTCTGTTTGCTTCCATTTCGCCATAAAATGGTACAGATTATGAATGTAGCATTGGAAAACAAAGATATTTGCAAAAACTGAGAGTTTGGTTTTTTTAAAATTTCAGGGGGGGATTAAAGAAGGGGCAGATTTGAGGAACAGTTCTTACCTGAAAATTACATCTCCAAATTTACCGTTTGTACAGTCTGGGAACCTTAAGGCCCTGCTCCTTTTCATTCTGCAACACACCTGATACCAACACAAAAAACAATTCTATGTATGAAAGAATATAAAACATTTTTGCTAATTTACTATTTTACTGTATATACTTGCGTATAAGCCCATCTGCAGATAAGCTGGCCCTTGAATTTTTAACCAAAATACCATGAAAAATGCACCACCTGCGGATAAGCTGACCCACATTTTTTGTGGTATTTTAGTTAAAAGTTTGAGGGTCTGCTTATCCGCAGATCGGCTTATGCACAAGTATATATAGGAAATACGGGTACTTTTAAAAAGTATTACTGTATATACTCATGGATAAGCCTATCCATGGATAAGCCAAATCCGATTTTTTGGCTACATATTTTTTTCTTCCATAGCAAAGTATAAGGTATTTAAACCAAGGTGTCAGTTTTCCATATGAAGAAGCGAGCAAATCTTTTTGGTATGGTAGCTGGACTGGATTCCAGGGAAGAGCATATGGGATGCATAAATACAGTAGCTATGGCTGGTAAGTAGGTCAAAACTCAACACAAAGCCTTTGCTAGAGAAAACTCTTCAGCTGATCTTCAGCAGCAATGCCAGGTATAGATGTGTATTAAATGGAATATAGAGTGGGTTTTTCCCCCCATAGCTTGGGACAAACCAGCCCTACCCGAATTGTTCCTTCTGAATATCTGAACTTGGGTGTTCTGACAGGACAAAACTTGAAATGAGTTTTCTGGCTATAAAAGGCAACAGGAAATCAAAACAAGCCCCTTGCTTTGTTGTTTTTCACCATACAAATAGATAGGGCAATAGTGTATGCTGATTATTTCTTGGCACCCAAGTTATGGAAAAATTGGCCAAAGAAATGAGGATGAGGATGAGGAT